TTCAAAAACAGACTAGACGAAGCTATGCAGGAGCATATGTTTAGTCTTAAAATGCCTAGCAAATTACGGACCAGGCAATAAGTCCAGCAGCTATCTCAATCAATCGTAAGCTATAGAAAGATCGGGTTCCAAAGGCCGGATCCCTTGTGAATCAAGTCACAAAAAGTTCAAGAATCGGCAACAGGCCATGGGCCTATTTCTTCAACGCCGACACTTCTATTCTATTCTATTCTTTACCAAGTTCCTTTACCCAATGTTTATACTGAAGCAATTTTGAGGTTTTTAGGTTGTCATTGGAAAAACTTAGGTACTGTCTTAGGTATGCGCAATGCGCATGCAATTCTAAAATTCTACAAGCTAGGCATCATTTTGATCTTCAGAATACATTATTTGGACCATCAATACAAAAAGATTTTCCGGCATTCGGAGGCCTTAAATCAGCCATTATTGTGACCATTAAGTTTAATTCTTAGTTCTTAACGTAATTTTTAAAATATATTGTCCGCTTGTCACGCAATCGAACTACATGTTGGTATTAAACTAAGTAGTTAATTTAGTTTGAAGGTGGCACTTGGTTAACTATAGTGTAAGGAAATATTTGACACGTTTTTTACTCAGGAATTTTTAGTGTGAATATTTGCATGAGATTATAGATTTTCTTTGCGTTTATTTTCGAAAAATATTTATTCTTAGCTTATTTAACATACGTGCTATACTAATTTATTGGCGATTATTGTCAAAATTGCATCTGTTTGTTTCACTGAAATCGATTTCAATGAAAAAATAAGGATAAATCGTGTGCTCAAAATCCTGCGAAGCGAACACAATTCACTCCACTCATGTTGAATGAAAATGTTATGGGTTACAAATTGGGAAAATGATCATCCAAAAAATAGTTATTGTGGATGGATCAGGCGCATGTAATATATGTGAGTTAGCATGGCATTTGGGGCATGGGTCTGACCTGACAATCAAGCCAGAAATTCGAAGAAAACGGCCGAAGCCATCGACCTTCAAGAGTCTCTTGTAGAGTCTCTCCAGCAACGCCGTTTTTATGCAACTTTCTTCTAGTTTTTGTGTTATTTGGAGCCCCGCATTTGGAGCCCTCCTCATCTGCGGTTTGAGGTCGTTCGAGAAAGTGCATGCGGATGTTGCGTGTTCCTACATCTTAAAATTACTTGGCTAAAGGAACATGAATAATTGCTAATTCTCTTCGAAAATCGGCATATAACTGTCATTAATGTATAATTTTTTCGCCAATGACCGATTTTTGAAATTTCAGAAGTGAAGATAGTTGTTCGAAGAATTATAAATCTCTTCGAAATGCGACTGCCACTCATGAAGGCAAATTATAATGAGACGATAAGAAGTTCTGTAATCTACAGATATTTTAATGTTTTATGTTATCCATGGCAACAAAAATTATGGCAGACTATTTTACATTAGATTCAACATGTAAGTAACCTATCAGTTAATTAACAGCCTTGCTTATTATCGAGCGAAGAACATTGTTATTAAAGGATATGAACGACCCATTTATTTTAATACGACAGTTAACTGAAATAATGTTAATCGATCCATCATACTTCAGCAAACCCGGATTTTGTAACTCAGTCCCCGTATCGGTTTAGTGTGGGATATGCTTAACTGTGACCGGTAACCATTTCCCACTGTAGGTTAAAAAGCGGCAACTATAGCAGCTTTTTGCCCACGTTACGGTACACTTGCAGATGAAAACATCTTCGCCTGAGGAGGGTAAAAGGAGCCCCAGATTTTCACAGGCGTCCGACGCGTGCGATTTTAGGGCGAAGGAAGCTCAAGGCGGGCGAGATAATTGAGTTAGAAGACCTAGTTAATAATTAATAATTAACGTTGCTTGAGCGCACGCATGCGGTGAGCGTGACCGATAATAATTATTGTCAGTTGAAATATGGAACGGACGCGTTTTCGGAGCACGTGAAGAGAATAAGTGCCACATGCGCTGATAATTAAGTGTGCAGTGTGCTCATAGAAAAGAGGGTAACTATTTAATTTTGTTTTTCTTGACTGCAGTAATTATTGAAACCAACTTATTTCAGTAATGTTTGTGCCAGCATCAACGCATGCTACAAGACCTGCATCGGAACTCTTTTCGAGTTGCAATAGAATTTAATTGCACGGCAGATTCCATGCATGATCCAGGGTGGCCCAGTGGTTACAGTTTAGAGTACCAGGATTGGCGCAGAGAGGTGCGGATTCGATCCCAGCTCTGTGCGCCAGTTTCTGGTCAGAATCGGTAAGGAGGCCGGACAGTTGAGCACAGCAGAATCAGAGCAGTGAGTTGCGTGTTCGAGACCGCAACAAGTTGCGAATATTCGGCGATGTTAAGAATACGCGGCAGGCCTACGGCCCAACCAACGCTGGCCCCGCTATAAAGACAATATAACCACTGCCACGACTGCTCACTTCTGTAGTAATCTATCTGACAAATGATGTCGAATCAACGTTGATTTAACGACTTTAAGCTGAATTTACGTCGACGATTGGTCCTTGTTTAAATTATATTTGCCTGATGCGAATAATGAATATCAACGGCCTCTCGCGTTTCGTGTTTCTCTCCGTTGTTGCCAAGGAAACAGCCAAATTATTCACAATTTCCCACACCAGGAAAAAGCTGGAAGCCGTGCGCATTAACCTCCCAGCTGACATTGCCTCCCAGCTGACTAAGAGCGTCCCAGTTCTCGATCATGACCTACAGGGATGCTGGTGTGAGGAAGAGAAGCTACCTGAGGTGCTATGCGGTATTCTTCTTACCCCGCACAGTTGAAAAGTTAATAACTTTGCATTGCTCTTTACACAGCGCACAGTACTCATAACAGCAGACCTCCTTNAGCGTACAGTACTCGTCACACCAGACCTCCTTAAGACCATGACTGTCACATATCGAGGTTATGTCGCCCGTTACCTCAGGAGCGCTACAAGCGTCGCGACCTATACAGTACCAGGCGTCAGCATCTGTTGTCTCTTGCTTTCTATTTATGAGAAATGAACTTGAATCTGCTTAAGGAAATGCTAGAGTGTAAATAATCAGGAGGTGGGAGTTAAGTTCGATGTTATAGACCTAAGTAACTATATTGATAAGATTTAAGTGACGCTCAGCTGATTATATAAGTGTATTTACACGATTTTAATTATGCAATTCTCGGATTCTTTTGTAAGAATTTGGACAAATTCTATGACTATGAATTGAAAGAGGAAAAAAACGGCTCTAAAATAATATAATACGTATCAGTATATTGTCCAAGTATATATTATAATGTTTTGCTTAAAAATTCTTTCTTATATTCGTTGTCATCCTGTTTGGTCTGAAAATTTGTAAATATTAAAAATGTGATGTTTTTAAAATCATCTTCACGAAAAAGAAATAAATAAAATTATAAAGATATGGTGAATTTTTGTGGTATTGTCTTTGCTTTTAAATTCCTGCTTAACTTGCGATTCAAGCAAACAAGTGATTTTAATACATATAAATAAAATAATTTTACATTACTCAATATTTTTATTCTTTACTGCAGTGGATTGAATAAATAATACAAAAAATTTGTGATGAAATTCCTTCAGTCACATTATTCCTCATTAGCGAGCAATACGTCCACTGAAGCGCTGCAGTTCCCCCACTAACCTTTCATCATGCGTTTATTTCAGCTGCACTCGTCAAATTTGGCGTAATTAGAGCAGTGAGTTGCGTGTTCGAAACCGCGACAAGCCGTGAATGTTCCGCGATATTAAAAATCGGACACAGGTTTAACGGCCTGATCAACGCTGAAACCGCTATTGTTATAATTATTATTATTATTGTTACTATTATTATTATTAATATTATTATTGTTATTATTATTATTATTACTATTATTGTTATTAATTTCCATTTTTCTTTTAACATTAGTACCTCTGCAGTACGGTCGTATTGAATATATAATTTCACAGCGAATAATCATTATCCTCTCGATGTTTTTAAACTCAACTCTCATTGCGGGATGCATTTTTTGCCGGGGTTAATTTTTTCCTTAATAAGACTGGGATTACGGTCAGTATCAAGACTGCTGATGCGTCCGTCATATGGCGTTATTGCGTGACTCGTCGAACTGCTGTTAGTCCAGCACATGTTGCCTGTGCCCTGTAAGAATTTAAATATTTCTTAAGCAAAGAAAAAAATATTTTTTCCAGTCATCATTTTCGTGTTATAGCAAGCAATTTATAATTTGATTAAAGTCATAGAATTTTGTAGGTGTGTTCATGAAGTATTCTTCTGTTAAATTGTTTGATGCAGCCACTTGTCTTGTTTTCAGACTTTGAAAAGTAATACAATTATATCATCATGTAATATTATGACTCGTTTCAATAATACATTATATTAGTTAGCTCATTATAAATTCACTAAGTGAGTCTTAATGTTCAGGCCCATGAGACCGGCTTATTATTAGCATAATCATCACCGAGGAACTGAGTTTTTCTGTTATTGGTGTGTCGTAGTTTGTGTTCAGTCATTAATGGAAAGATGTGCTCTTTTAAACTAATGTGAGATTTTACCATGAAAAATGGAGCGAAACAATGCCTAATTTTGTTATTGTTGACGATAATATAGCATCTGATGAGGTATTTGATTACATATAATTCTATCACAGTTTATGCTGAAGTGGGAGACCGAGCGAGAAAAAACGGCCGAAACGCTGAATTTTCGGAGAGACTGCGACAGAGAGACAACGCCGACAGCATCGACTACATCAAGAGCTTGATGCAAGAATTCCATCAGCCAGGCGAGGAGCTGTGAGTGAAACTTTAACTAAAAACAAAAATTAAATTCAGAATGATGATTTATTTATGCTAATCGAGCAATATATACACTTATAAATCACAACATTTACTGATCAAAAAACATTTAAGTTAAACTGATCAAACAACATTTACACTGATCAAACAACATTTACACTGATCAAACAACATTTACACTGATACACTTCTGGCAACAGCCAAGAAGTGTCAGGTGTCAGCTCTGGAGCCAATTCGAACAGCAGCACTTCTGGCAACAGTCAAGAAGTGTCAGGTGTCAGCTCGGGAGCTACTTCTGCCAACAGTTCTTCAGTAAACAGTCGCGAACAGTCAGTAGTCAGCAAAGGACCTTCATCAATCAGTGGCAACAGTCAGGAACTTGCCTTATCATCATCGTCAGCCACCTCCGTGACTCGCAGCCAGGCAGAGGCTGCTGACAGCAATAACAGGAACTCGTCGTCAGCAGGGCTGGCTCGTCAGCTGGGCCCCGGTTCACCGCTGACAGCTGCTGTCATGCTGGGCGCCCCTCTCCTGGCGGGCGCCATATATGCTGGCGCCAGCGCCCCCAATGTGGTAATTATTTAATAATAGCAATCACTTTGCGTAGGATTGTAACCTTTTTATTTTCACCTCTCTCAAGTGAAAATAATTATATGAGATCCTGAAGGGTCTATCAATTCAAATTATTTTTTTTTATTGTGACAATGAATCGAAAAACTAATTGTGGGATGAATATAGGGATTTTAAATGTTATTACGCTTCACAACAGTTGTCCTGCAACTGGAAACGTTTCGTCATGATTTACAATCAAATGATCACTTGAATTGTCTCATAATTGGTGTTGTTTAATAATCACTTAAGAATTTGCGAATAAATAATCGATCAGTAAAGCAATTAAATTAATATTAAGGTATTTTTTTACCACACGAATATTTTACCGTACATTAATATTAAGGTAATACTTTACCTCACTAATATTTTACCGTACATTTAAAATTAAGGTAATACTTTACCTCACTAATATTTTACCGTACATTTAAAATTAAGGTAATACCTTACCTCACTAATATTTTACCGAACATTTAAAACCATGCGCTTTTGCAGCCGGGAACTCGTCGTCAAGATCAGGACGCTGGAGGCGCGGATGAACCATATTGGCAGAGGTAAGGCCTGCGTGCTTAGAGGGAGATTTGAACAATTTTCCTAACTAATATCTAATAATAGTAGTAATATTCTACTAATGATAAATAATAATAAATAATGCTAATTAATAGAAATATTCTATTTTGCGTACGTTAATTTTTGACAAGCACCTGAAAATGTTGATAAACCTATCATTATTTAGCACCAAAAGCTTACACTTTTTCAGTCTAAAAGCATTATTGCACCTTCACAAAAAAGCCACATTTCTCATTATTTCAATTTTATTTGTGATATTTGTCTATTATTGGAAAATGATGCTTGGTTAGAGAAGGCACACTAATTTTCTTATTTCTGGTAGACTACCAGATTTTTTAGAATTAGGATAGAATAGGCTCATGTAACTATTTTATCCATGTTTTTTCTTTCCCGAGCAGGCTCATTCAGAGGACAGTTGGCAACATTAGAAACACTGCGAGTTACGTTGAAGGACAAGTTCGCGATTTTTTTGAGTTGGACGGATCACGTGACCAAACGACTGATGACCAGGCCGGAGAAATGGTCGGGGTTGTGCCTGGAAATGCACCTCCAGGCATAGTTCAGCTTAACCAAAACCAGGTCTTGAGACCGAGAAGGAGGAAGAAAAAACCAACTGCTGCTGGAAACCAAGCTTTGGCACCCAACGGTGACATGCAAATCAGGCTGCCCTATATTGATGGGTCTCCGGTGTTCCATAACATTAGGGTACTTGATCAGTTGGGCACAGCAGGAGTTGCAGGAGGAATAGGGGGTTTCGCTGGCGGTGTTGGTGGCATTCCTGGACTCGGTGGACAGGTCGGCTACAAAAAATCTGCCACAGGACATCTACATGATCCCTTCACTCCTGTGAGACAAGAAAATAACCCCGTGTTTTACACTCCTGAGGGTCATCCATTTAGGCCGGCCGTTAATTCACCTCAAGTTTTGGGTTCTAAGAAGGAAAGTGATGGTCTTCTTGAACAAGGTATTGAGAATTCGCTTCTTCATCAACATTATATCGACGCAGGAGTTCCAGTTTCTGGTCAAGTACCTGGATTGGCATCTCTTGGTTCGCAAAGGCTGCATTCGGAACAATACGTTAGGATTGCCGAAACAGGACAAGTAGTTCCACTTCGGGCGCTCCATCCTCAGCTATTGGAAACTAGGCTCCAGTCCGACACCCTTCCTGTCAGACGATTTGACGGGGCTCTCTCGCGTCAGCTGAGTGCACCAGAGCTTCTCGCTTTGTCTCAACAACAAGAATCTATTGGACTTAATGGGAATGTTCGGCAATCACAGGCCGTAAATTCACCTGTGCTGATCAGTGAGAGACGGAGAGGTATTGACTCGCAAGGATCCGAAAATTTCCCAGAAAGGAAAAGCGTACAGAACTCGAGTCATTTTTTAGGCAATTCCGGTGATGCAGTTCCCATGGTAGGACCCGGCCTACAAATGGTTGACGGAACTGTACAATACCAAGCAGAAGATGGAAAAATGCATTTGCTTGGGATAACTGCTGGTAACGAAAAAGTTAAACGTCGAAAGCGTCCAACACGGCCTGGTAAAAACAAAAATCTGAGGTTGAAAAATGTCAGAAAAGATGCTCCTAAACTTCCAGCGATATCAATTAGACCAAATCAACCCAGCATAAACCTAGCCACAAATCTGCCTATGCCGTCGATCAGCGCCCACGAACAAAGGCCGTCGCCACACACTTTTGCTATGCTGCCTGAAACAAAAGCAGACGATTTCAACGCGCATGATCCGTTAACAGTTCAGCTACGCTCATACAACCACAAGTACACTGGAAGCAGCGAAGAAAGACAACAGTCTCCTAATAGCCATCGATATTTACTTCCGAACTCGATATCCAGCCACGGGCAGGTTGAGCAGGGAATAAGGCAAACTCAGCAGCAAATAAGCCCACATGATATTCGAGATTTCATGAAAGTTAACATGGATTCGCCTGGTAGAAAAACAACAGATGCTTCAACGAACTCGTTTGGAAATTACACCACGAGATTTCGAGTGATAGATTATAAGGAAGAGCTGAGAATTGCAAAAGAAAAGCTAAATATCTCTAACTTGGAGAATGTGGGAACGGCTTCTATGAATTACGGAAACCTTAAACCAGAATCTGTGATCAGTAAAGTCGAGCTAGAATCTATTAATAAACACCAAGCATACTTGAGAGCAATGAAAAAACAATTACCGAGATTTACTTCAAAAGAATTAATAGAACATCGGCCACCCGAGCAGAAGACCATTGAGCAGCTGAAGCCTCTGGCTCGTGAAGCAGCGGTCGATGATTTTTTAGACCCGCGTAACAGACTGATAGTTGGTGGCGATTTGTACCGCAAAGCATATCTTCCAGACACAATGTCCGGTGAAGACATTTCAAGTATATCAAGTCTTCATTCCAGTCAAAGAGCAACCGAACACGATAAATTGCCTTTATACAGAGGGGATTTTTCATCACATCCAATAATGAAATCTTCGGACACGGTGGATTCTGTTCCAGGGGCTTCGAGGATATCAGCAAAATTACAGAATGATATTACCAGGCCTCCAAATAGAACGAACTCGAATGATAAGATGGAAGGACCCAAGCAGCTGGATATCGACACCAGTGATAATAATCTACACCAATCAAAAATTCGTGCGGATTCCAAAGATCCTACAGAGATCAAACCTTCCCCCAGCTCCACACGCACTGCTGACTCGGAAGAAGAACCTTTAGGATATCCGTTTTATAAGTTCAAAAACCAAGGAATTAGACCTCCGAGTAGCATTCAGGACGTAATAGCCCTCACAATGGGCGCTGAGCCTGCGCATGATGAAGGTCGGAGGGATCATCGCAATAGCTTGGAGTTCAATCGATTCAAGCCAAATAATCCACGAGCCTCACCAAGAATTGACAAGATTGCTATGACACAAGAGACTGAATTCCCTAATGATTATAACTATGATTATTATCATGATAGGTTGCCTCTTCACCAACCTCATCATAACGCCCGGCCTAAGAGCAGCAAAACTCAAGGATTACTTTACCATCAATATAAGGAAAGGAAACACTCCGAAAACTCGGCTGTTGATCACGCACTGCACAGTATAAACCTAGGCAGACTTACTGGCACCGCGGAAAACTCAGCTTTGAAGATACAACCAGCTTCGTTTGAGGTATTTGATATTATCGCAGATGAAAGTAAAAAGAGAAAGAAAACCCAAGGATACAATGATGGTTCGGCAGTTTCTGACATGAAGGTGTCTGACAGAAATCGGAACCAAGGATCTGCCGGCGTTCACGTCTCTGTCAAAAGTACTGACGGAGTCACAACTTTGGATGGACCTCAAAATGAGGCTTACTTGCCTTACAATTCGGATAGTTTTCTGCACAAGAACGTCCCACAAAACCCAAAACCAAACGAGAAAGTCAATACCAGAATAAATAGTGATGAAGTGGATTACGCGTATGACCGCGAAATTGCAAAACAAGATGAATCCGATTACGTATTCAAAAGCAAGGACAAAATAAAAACTTTGTCTGAAGATAAGGAAAATCGAAACCCTTCGACCATCAGTAGCGTACGAATATCCACGGCATCAAACCCCGTGGCTGAAGAGTCGTATGGCGACAGCGAGTACGACGAAACTCCAGGGCTGAGGAGGCGAAAAATCGTTGGATCTAATTTGGGACGACCTTTTAGGAGACGGCGGCCATCATCAACAACAGTCAGGCCTGCAAGCGTTGAAAATAAAAATGATGAATCAATTAGCTTCAGACTCAATAATCGACAAAACTTACCAAGAAAGAGTTTGTCTGCTGAACTCGGTGACTATATCCGCACTAAAACAAAGCTGCCTCAAAGTGTCGTGACTACTCAAAAAAAAAGTGACATCACAAGGGATTCGGAAGAAGACGAAATAAAAGTACCCGAAAATAATCAGTCCGCTGACATGACTCAGACGAGGTCCAAGAGAAGAAAACCTATTGGTAGAAAGAGGTTGGGTAATCTTCCAGCTGCCAATCAACAGACAGACGATGAGTTGACGGGAATACCAAGCGCTGCGAGTTCAGGCCTTAGACGAAGAAGACGACCTCTAGAAAATCCAACGAAAAATAATCCAGTATATATTGAAGATAAAAACAGTCCTCCCTTCGCCCAAGATTACACAGATCCTGAATCACGCTATAGAACTCGAGACACAACTGATCTTGAACAACAAACTTACGAAGAACGATATATGAGACGTAAAAACTACAAAATCATGGATCGTCAACAAGAGAACATGGAGAAAGAATACAGTGTTGAAGGAACTCAGTATCCTGATGATGATGACATGAGTGTCAGCCCTTCAGTCAAAAACGAAGCGACCAGGAATTTTATGGGCATAAAACGAAACTCAGCTCCTAAATTTGGTGAATTCAAAAAGAATTATGACACTACTATCGAACTTCTCAAGGCAAAACGAGATTCCATTGGACCCAAAAGTACGACCCCTCAGCAGGAAGACACAATTCCTTCTTCTCCGTCGCCCTTTCTGCCAACACATGCAAGCCGCGGCAAAGTGAAAAGAAATCACGACGATGCAATTGCTGATAGAAGCAACTCCAGTGTAAAGGAGCCTCACGTTATAACTATTGATGACATCAGCGGTCAAGATAATAGGTTGTCTCCTAGAATAAATCCGTTCACAAGTACAACACCAAGTGGACCTTCATTCATGAAAAGAATTCAAGATATTAGTGATGAAGATAATCCGATTATTTCAAATTTGAAAGCCGTTTTTCTTGAAAATGCTAACGAACATCACAAGCCGATGAAAACTTCTTTCTGGCATCTTGGCGTGCCACGAACAACCGAACCTGTAGAAGCTCTTACCACTTCCACTACTCTAACTCCTGGAGTGAAGAAAGTGCGAAGAAAGAAGCTAAGAAATTCTGAATATTCCCAAATTTCCCGTATGGGTTTGCCTCTGAACAGCGTCGAAATAATAACCGGCAAAATTTCTAATTCAAATCCTCCTAGAACTCCTCACCTAAGGCAGCATGGCGCTTTCTTGGTAGCTAAAACATCATCTAACACGGCTCCTGATATCGCAATTACTGCCGGAGGCCAAATAAATGAGAAAGAAGAAATAGAAGATCAGTACGAAAGTTTGTCTGACCTTATGCCTATGAGGCTCGTGGCACCTCACCCGGAAACTTTAAACTCCGTGACTCCTCTGGCTCAAGTTGGAGATAACTTCAGTGGTAAAACCATGAACTTTAACGATGAAGTTCGCCAAGAAGATATTCAGGCTGATAAATCCGGTGCAGCTGTTAATTCTGTGCCAAAACAACACGAGACCCAAATGGAATATGGAGAATCCTTTACACCAAACAAAATTATTTTACCGATCAAAAATGCAAGTAAGTTTGCAATTGCAAGTGAAGCTTCAGACGAGTCCCTGGTAGCTATTGGAGAGATCCAGCTACCTGGAACTGACCGCAAAATTATCGTTAAAACTCCTGTTCCGGAATTTTTTAACTCCGGTCCTGGCTCCGTTGTTGACGTATTTAAAAATACAAAAGAGGATCAAGTCGACAAAGCAAGTGATGTTTTGGAACAAAGTACTAAAAATTTTGCACCAATTTCCAAGAGACATTTTTTCGAGCCAGAACCATACCACCCAACTACTGATCGCTCATCGCTGGCTTCCTTCCCTAAATATCTGGGACCTAAATTATCAGCAAAAACTTTCATGATCGAAGACGACAGTTTGGCCTATGATCAATTGTCAACGCCGACAAGAGAAGAATCTCAGGAAATGAGTGACACTTCAATCGCGGTCGCACAGAGCAACATTGTTTCCATCAGCACAACTCTTCAAGCAACTCCTGATGCCAAGCAATCTGCGCCAGCTGACGACCAGCCTAACACCGGCAATGAAAAAAAATCAGGGATAATAAAACCCGCAACAGACGTAGACGGCGACTCGCAACATCAAACAACATTGTCCCGGGTAAATAGCAACAACGATGAAAATAATCCCGAAGTTCAACTCGACCCCAACCAACAGTCCCATAAAATCAAAGAAAGAAATTTGAACGAAAACAAATTGAACTCCAAATTTGAAGCTACTCAAAATAAACCTTTATTGGAAAACGTATCTTCTCGTAAGTTGACGGTCTCTTCACCCATTAAAAAAATCGTTCTGTCGTGATTTACTTCGATATATTTTCAATAAAAAATTCACCGTTGCTTGAATTAATACGATGAAATTGAATTAATAAATTATTCTTAGCTCGATCTCATCTCGAATTAATTCAAAGCATATTCCTTCAATTTTCATTCAATACACTGACCTAGAAAAAGATTTGTAATGAGCAATAATTTAAAAACTGTAAAGTGTAAATCTTCCAAAAAAATCCAGACTCATTTTATTGAATGAAAGAATTTGCAGCAGGCTTACTCTCAAAAAACAACCAAATGATCGTACAACAATAACCTTGAGGTGGAGCGCAGATTCGGGAAAAGGTTTTAAATGCGAGGGAGTTGGGAGATAAAATTTATGTATTTAGACTGCATTATCTACAATTAAGTTTCATGCTAATAATTTATCTTAATAATAATTTCATGCTAGTAATTTATAGTTGGCATTATAAGGGAGATGAGACTATTCTTATTTAATACACTAGGTTTTAAGTTGAAAACGCGTAGAAATTCCGGCATTTCACTATTCTTTATGCTACAGGTATGCATACTTTTTAACACGAATTTATCGCATTTTGTCTTTAAAACGTTCATCACTTTTAAGTGAGTTATAGACCGTTTTCTCGCACAAAATTTATGGTAAGCAGCGGCAGAAGTCGCTGCGTTCTCGAAGTCAGTGTTCATGCTATTCAATGTTCCGATTTTTTGTATGCATCAAATTTTGAATTCAGACTTTCCGCCATTTTGGCTCACGTTGCTTAACATTTAACGTTTCAGAGATCGGCTTTTAATTCAGATATATCATGTGGCATAAAAAGTTTCAAATCTAGCATAGAAAACTTCAGGAAGGGCATTGATTTTACGAAGAATTCAATAATATTTATTTTCCTGATTGTTTTATTTCTTAAGTTAATTTTTTTATTAATTGTATAAGAAACATTGGTTGCAGAATAGTGAGGTAACCCATAGACGAAGCACATGAAATCAGGAATATATTTGTAGGTAGTTAGAGGCGAGGGAGAGGAAACACGAACTAGAAGCGGAAGCTTATAAGATATTTATTCCTTATCCAATAAGATCGATATAAAGAAGTATATCTAAAATATGTTATAGGCGTCATGTACTACACAATTGTTGTAAATGAACATTCATATGGCCATTGCTGACATTGATTTAAACTTTAAATTGATGTACGCCTGTTATTGTAATTCAATATACGAGTTTCTTATACAAATTTAGAATATGTTTATTTTCAATCCAGACTTCAATTTGGCTACTATTGAATTGGCTATCGTGCATTTAATCCTAATTATAGATTGTATTACAGTACTGATTTTACAGTAAAATTTTCTCAAGTCTACGGACTTAACTTACAGTATTTAAGTTACTTGGCGTCGAGACTTTTACCATGAATGCATTTCTGAACAAAAATGATTGACACCATCTGTTTCAGAAAATTTACCAAGTTAATATTATTACGCGTTTAGGTATTATATTAATTTGAGCTTGAAGTAGGATATCGTTACACAAATGGAGCATCGTATCAGCCTTACTTACTGTGAACATATGCTGGGGTTGCGCCAGTGTCCCGGCAGCGGGGTTAACGAGAACAGCGCGTCGCTCCGTGGCCCAGCAAATCATTCGTCTGAAGCTCGGCGTTCCAAGAATAATAAACTTATGGGAAATTCCCTAATTGGAAGTAAAATACATTCTCTTATAGTAGGATCTTCATGAATTTAAGTGTATGGTTGATAAATGTGTGCAGTAATATCTGAATAAAGCGGTGACTTCAACGACTTTAGATCGCAACACGTGGTGGACTTTGAAGGCACTTGTAATTTTAGGAGGCAGTTTCCCTTCGAGTGTCTATGAACTTCATCCAATTAAAATAAACTTGGCTTCAACTCTGAAATTAAAACGTCCCGGGCGGAAATTAAACTTTTCGGGTGGTAAAGCTGATCACATTCTTGCAGAGATTCCTGGAAGGAAGTTCAGGACTTCGAGGATGTGATATGATCAAGAGGTATTCGCTGAGTATGCAATTCATTCAATGGAATTCTCTTTATATTAATTCTTAATAGCAATTAGTTCATTAATCAGCATCAACATCCTTTTTCAAGTCCGTTCAATATAAAGGATTTGAAATTTGATAAAAATAATAATGGTTTTAACTAATTAAGCGTAATTTTATGTTCAGAATACAGCATGGACCAGGATTTTAATCCAAATATGTAGAAATAATCAGCTCTTGTCATCAAATATGAAATATTCCATAATTAATATCCACTACAAAAAGCCGATAAAAATTTAACAACGAATCTTCATTTAATTTAATACTATCACAAAGGTCCTACATTTTTTAGCCTTCGTCGCTGGCATTCCTTCGCAGAACCCACGGAAATTAAAATAAACTATGAATTAAAATTTTTGCTAAAACAGTGTGTTTGACAAATTATTTTATCACATAATAAGAATTTGATGTCATATTTTTTTTCTATTTCAAGTTAGTTGAACTAAGTAATAAATGAAAACGAATAACGATAAAATTCTCAATATCTATTATTTAATCATAAATTCCATTGTTTTTATCCCTTCATTCATCAATAGATTGTCTTATCATGCTTGTCATTTGCAATCGATAACCTTGCTACGCACCAATAATTTTCAATAATTACACAACTGACTTAAGACCTCGCTTTTATTTTTGTCACGATCCTGTCGTGGTGCCTATTATGGTGCAGGGGGAACTGATTTAGTTAAGCATCGCTCCATTTAGTGCCACCGGACTGGCACTGATGTGATATTCAATGATTTCCCATGAGATAAAAAATTCCCTCCATCACGTCAGGACACTTGCTGGAGAGCGGGAGTTGCCAGACTGGTTTTAGCGTGGGATAGAAATCGGAAGCCGTACGTATTTTCGCTCGTACTTTGTCGTATAAATTTTTTACATGAATATCGAGGAATAATATCTGAAGAAAATTTCCCGATTCGATTAGAGCAAAAGTGGTTTGCAGATGAAAACCTTGAGTTTTTTTCATAATAAATAACAGAAATTGTCAGAAATAAAAGTATGGAGTGGAATGTATAATTGCTACGCTACTCTTGACGTGCGCAAGAAGAAAAGCAGGAATGGATTGAAAAATTCTACAGTCACTTTTTATGTCCTAATACTGAAGTCTTAACGAATGAGTTTGAACTAAAAATTCAACAATAAAACGAAGGCTGGGAGGACGTTTAAGCGAGAGGGCAGAGCGTCAGGCTCATAAAATGTAATCAGGCGTGACTGGCCACAGACAAATGCACGCTCCAGAATGCACTCTTGTATCCCCAAATAAGATATTTTCTCTTTTAACAATCTAAACTTTAAAAAAATGTTTTGCTCGCTATTATTTTTATACATTTTTTCGATTTATTAGCATTTGAAATGAAAGTAACATCTCGCATGTGTATGCTTTCGCTCCGCATAAGCTTCTATTTCAAAATTCAGTGTCTATGTTCCCGCAATCGATTTATATTTCGAATTTCAGACTTTCGAATTTCAGACTCAGGTTTTATCCCGACATGACGCACATTTTGGACAATCGGTCGAATATATTCAAGCTTGTAACATCAAGCAAACAAATTTTTCAAATATATGCCATAAAATGCTGTACAAGTGTAGTTTATTGTAATAAATTAACACTTATACTGAAGTGCAAACTGACCCATCTTTGAAGCGTTTCCTACGTACTGTAATCCTACCCGAACCTAACATATTCAATAAGTGCAATATATTCTTATAATAAACGCACGAAAGATTTTTTTACTGGTACTTTAGAGACGAGTATTTTTATATGCATTAGAGAAGCCTAAAATTTTTTACCAAAGCAATATTTTAAACTGGGAAATTCATTAATAAACGAGGGGTTAGTTTTATGTATGTGCGTTCTGACGAGACATTTAATGTAATTATTTTTAAGCGAAATCATATAGAAATACTAATAAACTAAATTTTTGATCAAAATATTTGATATAATATTTTTTTACAATTAGATTTGCTCATATTTCATGGGCCCCTGAGGCCGTGTCTCCTTACCGAATAATTTAGAAAATTTCTTTAATTCCTTGCTTAGGGTAAAGTCCCTGAATCGCCTAAGGAGTGCAGCGCAGAACTCGCTTGGGTCGTCGTAATTTCCATCGATTATCCACAAGCAGTTATTTTCGCGTCAGCTGCTGCGTTCCGGCGATCAGGTGACATTCTCCATTGCAGGGAATTTTCTCAACTTCCGTCAGTCTTGTCGATCAACTGAAGGAGTCAAAAAGAGGAAAAAAAGCTTATGTCTCATATATAAAAAAATCTGTTCCGTCAGTCACAGAGATAAATAGAAAAAGTGTAAAATAAATTCTAAATTTACGCCAATTTTTTATGACTAATCGCGCAACCGAAATACTAAGGAATCGGTTAGTAATAAATCTACATGCATAAACTCAATGAAAAACGCTTGAGAAATTCTTGTAATCTCCCAGAAAATAAATCAGTCGTTAATAAAAGTTTGATTTATATGCATATTTTTTAGGTTATTATTTTCAGTAGCGTATTATGTGCATATTTTTAGGTTAATTTTTAAGTTACCGAAAATTAGTAAGTGATGTAATACTCGTATTTCAATAATTCAGAATAAATATTTGCTCTCATATTAAACTCTTAAATGACAAAAGAATATACCTACTATTCCGGTTTAAATATGCAAATTATTACTTTTATTACATATATCTATAATACTGTGTACTTTTTATACAAATTTACAGCATATTTGAACCTCAAGGTTCAGAAGAGCAGTCATTGCCATTAAAAAAATATTCTAAAGCAACAATTTCCAAGCCTTCTTCGGGACATTTTGAAACGATTTTTGTTGACTCCCTCACGGCAAACTTGATTATTTCTTAATAAGTGCGATTATTTTTTAATAAGTGCGAGGATGACAGGCTTTTGTTCCAAAGTCGCAGACTCTAATCAAGGATGCCGGTCGCGTCGGCTGCTAATGTGTAAAATGTTCAGACCCAAATTCCGCCATATTTAATTGGGGTCTGACAACGACAATGGGGTTTCAATGAGAGCTCGGTAGGGTCGGGTGGCTTGGGTTGCGATGGGGTTCATCTGGATCAAAGATTTATTAGGGATGAGGTGGAGAATGAGTTGAAATGGGACTTGAGTGGGTGAAGGATTGAAATGGAGTTTAGGCAATTTGAAGTAAAGGCTTTCTAGAGTTGAGTATGGGAATGAGTTTAAGTGAACTTGAAAGGGTAAAGAATTGAAATAGAGTTTAGTTAATTTGAATAAAAGGTTTATTCCGGCATGATATTTCGAATGATTTGAAATGGGAGTGAGTAAAGGACTGCTGTAGAGTTTTGGTATAAAACGATTGAAACTTAATGTACGCTGAGAGACGTGATATGAATACTCAATTTCTCAATAAACGTCAAAGGTGCTCGTTGAAGAAACTGTTTCATAACGATTAATGATAGAACTGAAAAATGTATGCTTTTCATTTTGTTTATTGATATTTTGCTATGCTTAACAACAGCAGAATACAAATGGTACTTCGCTATTCCTCGACCGAGGTTAATGTAATTGATCGTTTTTATTTGCATCGTCACAGCAATATGACGTTCTTTCTGACCGCCGTACATTCATTATTCATGTCGTTATTGCGCCAGTTTTGACGCAGGAAATTGATAAATATTCACAGTTCGAATCCTCAGTTTTATTTTTCCACATCCGTAATTAATTGCTCTGAATAATTGAGTATCGAGCAATATTCAATCGAAATTGATTGCGGTCTTACAGCAGAATGTTTATCATGATTCTGCTAGGACTAAACTGCCGTTTTTCATCTGCTTCAATATTTACCGTTCAATTTTTTAGATTAGGAAATATCAAAGTATAAAAGATGATGGCATTTGCTAAATTTTCCAAGCCAGTTAGAACGGAAATTATTTCTATAGCTTTTTTAATAATAGACGTTTCAAAAGTTCGAGGAAACGAATGTTGACAACTCTATGAAGTCTGGGGTAAGTTTTTTGTTTATTTACCTTAAAGTTTGTGACTAAGGGAGTGCAGGGAGGGAGGAAGGGAAGAGCAAGCGCTGTCTTATGTTCAATTGTTTAAGGCATTCACTGCTCAGAATTATTACACTTATGACAAGGCTTTTCTAATTTAAATTACCCGCAGTTGTGAAATTTTTTCATGGCGTTG